CTTCAGTGAAAGGAGCAATAAGCACTTCATTTTGTTCTGAGGATAAGACCTTGAAGCTTACACCATCCAACACGGGTCTAGGTTGGCACTGTTCTTGGAATCTTTGTTGGAAAAAGTCTTTTACATGGGATTTGACCACCTTGGGCTCATCCGACCACACCCCATTTATGTATAGTCCCTTCATTTGATTCTTTCTTCTTCTCCAATTGATCATTAAGTGAAAAAACTTTGTGTTCATGTCTCCCTCTTTTAGCCAAGAGACCCTAGATTTTTGAGCTAGAATCGATTCGTTTCTCATAGCCACCTCCCAGAACTGATTTTGAAGTTCTACTCGATTCGACCACTCAGCTTCAGACAGACCTGATTCCTCTTCCTTCTTATCCAGCCTACTTAACATACTCACAATCCTTTTCTGAGCCGACATCGGATCCTCAAACTTGTTAGAATTCCATTCTCTTAACTTTCCTTTGAGAAATTTAAACTTCTCCTTCAACACATAAGCTCCCCACCCATGAATGGGCATCTCCTTCCATGTATCAAGAACAAATTTCTTGAAGGTAGGATCCTGAAACCAGTGATCAAGCGAGCGAAAAGGTTTCGGACCCCAATCCGAGTTTGAAACTTGGAGTTTAATCGGGCAATGGTCTGAAATACTTCTGTCCATGATCATTTGCGTACTACCCGGCCATGCTAGCAACCATTCCCTAGAAACCAAAATTCTGTCCAGCCTACTCCTCACTGTACCATTGGGCTTGTACCATGAAAACCTCCTCCCTACACTCGGTAGATCCTCCACTTCCATATTCTCAATGAACTCATTAAAAGCACGCATCTCTGATTGACTACACCTCATCCCTAACAAGCTCACTCTCTCTTCTTCACACCTTATACTATTAAAATCTCCCACCACACACCACAGGTAAACTGAACTAAGTCTTCTTTTTACCGTTATCTCCTCCCAAACACCCAATCTTGCAGCACTTTGGCACGGCGCGTAGACGTTGACAATAATCATCCTTTGCCCATTTTCCTTCCACACCCCTTCCAAGCCAAGATAAGATACACCTTTAAATTGTTGACTTACCTGAAATTTGTCTACGTTCCAAAGACATAAAAGTCCACCAGCCGCATTAATCGCTGGCACAGCACTCCACTCACACTGTCCGTCACCCCAAAGTGATTTGCACAATCTCTCAGTAATTTCTTCCTTCTTCGTTTCTTGTAGACACACAATCTGAGCATCTTCTTCTACTATCATCTTCCTAATAACCCTCCACTTAACCTTACCCCCTAACCCCCTGACATTAAAAGATATTAGCTTCATAGATCACCATCTAGATTCCCCCTCATAGTTTGCTTTATTAGTTCTTGTCTCTCCCTTTGATCTCTAACCTCTAGATCCATCAGTGTTTTGATAATCTGTTCTTCCTCACCATTGAATGAGATACCAATTTGTTTCCCAATCTCCCAAATCCTTTTGGCCTCCACAACGTCGTTCTTCAACCAAAACTAAAGGCATATTGCAGCAGGTGCCAATTCTTCAGCAGTAGCATTTTAGAGAACAAAACCTTATTCCGTTGCTCACATTGGACGCGAAAACCTTTAAACAAAACTCACTATTTATCATGTTGGTGACAAAAGCAATTGTAAATTGTAATTGTATATAGGACTGTTTAAAGAAACAGATAGGTATTTCAACATTATCTCCCAACATATATATCACTGAGCCATACATATATAGGCATAGCTAACTTGTATATAAATTGTTTTATTTGTAGTAAACATTACAAAATCATATATCATAAAATAAAAATACGATCCAACCATCTGCACACATCTCAGTTTGAGGCATATACACGAAAAAATACCGTAACTTTTAAACATATGTAAAATGTGTTCTAATTCACCAAAATAAGAATAATGTATGAGAAGTGCTATATAGTAGCAAGACTATTTGCACGAACACGGTATGAATACAAGTGCATAAATATATTATTGGCTGACTTTTAAATTAAAAATAAAAAAATAAAATCTCTATAGGAAATCAAGGGCGGTTGCAGAGCGATAAGTGTTTTTGCATGTACGAATTTGTAAATAATAAAATTTTCGATAATATTTAGTTTGAAGTTTTGGAGAGCTAACGTACATGCTAATCCTAAAATTTTCAATCCTCGTTTCTTAAACCATTTGCATTGATATTATTGTCAAAATTTTCATTAAGGAATAAATTTACAAAATTTTACGCTCGCACTTTATATTAAGAAGACAATCTCAGCTACAATAATCACATTTTCTATTAGATTTTCACATTAGAATATTTCTTTTTATTTACCTTCTAATGGTTGTCCAATAGTGTGAAGGTTTTCCCATTTTTGGTTTAAGAGTGGACAAAAAGAGTAATAAATCATTTAAGGGGTGGGCAGGAAAAATATATATTGTTTGATGCATTTTTTATAGGGTAAAAAACCTAATTTGGTCTCTTATTATATTTGTTTATTACAATTTACTCACTTTAATTTTTTGTTTCAATTTTGTCTCTAATAATTTAAATTATTGCAATGTTGAACTTCCGTTCAAATTATTTAAACAGAGTTAACTGTTAGTCACGTGAATGCCAGGTGGATACCACGTAGATGCATAAGTGGATGCCAAATTTCGTGAATATACCTGGAACCAGAACGGGCCGTTCTGAAACTAGAACAACCTATTCTGGTTGCACATGTTGTGTGTTAATTTTGTATATGGAATGAGTCGTTCTAAATGCAAAATTAACACATTACGAATACAGTAGAACAGACCGTTCTACAAAATTAACTACTTTTAATTTTATTGTTAGATTATTAAAATTTTATGTAAAATATAAATTATAAAATGAAATATATATATAATATTAAAATTTGATGTAAAGTACAAATTATCGAGCGAAATATATATATAATATGGATGTCTGTGTGGAAGAGAGGAGGTTTAGTTACAATCACCAATCATTGCATACTTAAATGGTATGAATGGCAATAATTTGTTTGGAAGGAGGCAGGAGAGAGTATCCATTCCGAAAATCTTCTCATAAATTAAAATCCCTCGATGTGGTAAAAGAAGAAAGAAAAACATTACAATAGTCACCGACAATGAGGTAGGATTGTATGAGAACCTAAGACACTTAGACGGCGCTAATTATTGCACGTATATGTTGCTGTGAATTGTGATGCATGTTAATTGTCAAATCTCTCTCCTTTAGTGCGCTAACACTAGTCATCGTTTGTTGACAACGACACTCCAAAAGGCAACTTTTAAGTGGCTGAAAAATTTGACCTTGCTTGCTCCAGACCACAACCATACCATACCATATAAAGAAGCATATAATATGTCTGTCTCCATATTATTATTTGAACAAATAAGGTATGTATGCATCGATAAAAATGTGCAATAAGGTGGAAAAGTATAATGTTGTATTCGTAAATTAAATCGACTTTTTTACATCCCAAATGTTATCTGATAGCCAATAAGAGAGATAAAAGTGAAATAAATTTAAATATAATAAGTGTCATAATATTATAAAAAATGATAGATAAAGAAAAACAGTTAATTATCTATACACTATCAATTTAAAGTTTTTTTATATTAGTAACTAATTATATCTCTTAATTGTGTCATGTTACTATTAAAAGTAAATGTGTTTACAGTGACATGATACAATTAAAAGATATAATTGATTGCTAGTGTAAAATTTTTTTACACTGATAATATATAGGTGATTAACTAAAAAAAATATGAGTTAATTAGTTGCTTTTTTTTATTAAACTAAGTGTTTCAAAATAGAGTTATTTCTTTAAATTAACATTATTTTCTATAAGAGAGAAAATAAAGTTTATTCTATTTTGTAATTATATATCTACAGTATAAAATTTTGTAATATTTTAACTTTTATACACTTTATTCATCAATAAAAAAATTATTATTAGTTTCAGTTTGAACTAATTATTATAAAATCATATAATAATAATAATAATAATAAGTTATAATTGAATATTAATGCAAAAATATTTTACATCATCAACAACTTATGTTCAAATTATATTAAATTTGATCTCTCTAAATAATAATATCAATTTAATTCTTCGATGAATATTAGTTATCGATGAAACTAATAAATAATTTATATTTATAAAATATTTATTTTAAAAAAATATTTTATATATACCAATAATGTATATCCTATATATTTACTCTAATTTTAATAATTAAATTTCAAAAACGTATACAAATCCTACATGGAATTTAATAATTCTCACTTGTATTTAATCTCTCAACGATATTTAAACATTATTTATATATTTTTACATATCAACTAACATGGATTTACGAATATTATTGTTACCATTAGAAAAAAAAAACATTATTTATATATTTTTGCATATCAACTAACATTACCTTACGAATATTATTGTTACCATTAGACAACAAAAAAGAAAAAGATACTATATTTTGGCAAGCTATTTTATGGGGTAATAAAATAAGAAAATTACATATATCAATACATCCATCTTTTTTATAAAAAAAAACACTTTATCTCTCGTACAAAAAGGTGTGATGTAGAAATTAACAACATAATACTGTATAACATTGCCTACCGTATACACGACGTTGTCATTCTTTCTTTCACTTGCAAGGATCACTTTTCTTGCCACTTATAAAACCCCCTTCCATCCCAATGTGTTTCACCGAATAAGGACATTTCTCTTCTATTTTCTCTTGTTCCCTGTTTCAGTGTCATTCTCAAAACCCTCACTACACCAATGAGGCTTCCATTAAAAACACCACCCCCACTCCCTTCAACTCAAACCCACACCCTCCTCAAACCACGATGCATAACCACCACCCTAACAAAACCTAACCCCATCACCACCCACTTACACTTCTCTAATAACACACCACAAGCCACATTACAGTTAGAAAAAACGATAAACTTAGAAAACCATAATAACAACAATATTCCGTCCATGCATTCATCATCATCATCGTCGTCATCATTTTCCCGCCAAAAAGAAGAGAAACTTGGAAAGAGGTGGAAGGAGTACCAAGGCATGAGAAATTGGGACGGTTTGCTCGACCCATTAGACGACAACCTACGAGGTGAAATCCTAAGGTACGGTCATTTCGTGGAAGCTACGTACAAATCCTTCGAATTTGACCCTTCCTCTCCCAATTACGCAAACTGCAGATTCCCCAAAAGCACTTTTTTAGAACGATGTGGTTTACCAAACACGGGCTACAAGGTAACAAAATACCTACGTGCCACCTCGGGGATTCAGCTACCTAGTTGGGTTGACAAAGCACCAAGCTGGGTAGCAACACCATCAAGCTACGTGGGATACGTAGCGGTGTGTGACAACAAAGAAGTCATCAAAAGGCTTGGTCGGCGCGACATAGTTGTGGCATATAGAGGAACAACAACATGTTTGGAATGGTTGGAGAATTTTCGTGCCACACTCACCAACCTCCCAATCTCATGCACCACCCAAAGACCCTTTGAAAAAAATAATCACAATATCATGGACGGTAGTGGGGCCATGGTAGAAAGCGGATTCTTGAGTCTCTACACCTCATCACTTCTTGCAAAACTGAGTCTGCAGGAAATGGTGAAAGAAGAGATCTCAAGAATCCTCCACACTTATAGTAGGGACTCAACACCGCTGAGTCTGACCGTCACCGGCCACAGTCTGGGAGCGGCATTGGCAATGCTAACAGCCTACGATGTCAAAACTGCCTCTCCCAAACTGCCGGTGACGGTCATCTCCTTCGGTGGTCCCCGTGTCGGGGACCGGAGATTCCGGAGGCAGCTTGAAAGGCAAGGGACGAAGGTTCTGCGCATAGTGAACTCCGACGACGTGATCACCAAGGTTCCGGGGTTTGTGTTCGACGACGACGTGGCGCGCGGTGGTGGGGTCCACGTGGCGGGGCTTCCGAGCTGGATACAGAAGAGGGTGGAGGAGGCGCAGTGGGTGTACTCGGAGGTTGGGAGGGAGCTACGGTTGTGTAGCAGGGATTCTCCGTACCTAGGAAACACGAATGTCGCCACGTGTCACGAGCTGAACACGTATATGCATCTTGTCGATGGATTTGTCAGCTCCACGTGTCCCTTCAGAGCCTCCGCGAAGAGGTTCCTCCGGCGATGACAGCAACCGCAGGGTGGTACTCTAATGTCTAACCCAAACCGTTAAACGAAGAGAGAAGTGTTAATGGTTAAATATGTTTATTAAAAAAAGGGTTAAAGTCTTAAAGACGTAATTATTAACTGTAGTAATGTAAATTGTAGCACAGCCATCGTGGTTATGACTCGATTACTTAGTGGTAATCTTGACCTAGACGGGAGGTAAAAGTTGTGATTGTAGATAAACCCTCCCGCAACATACAAATACAATCCAAAGGCAAATTAAATGCTTTTTATCGCTTAAAATTTATTATAATTTATAAAATTACTAGCGAAATTTATGAAATAAAGAATCTAACCTATATAATTTTATAATTTTTGTTGTGTTTTAGTCCATAGCGTATTAAAAAGTATGTTTCTAACGTCATTTTGGTGTGATAAACATCCCCCTTCCTTTTTATTTGTCAAATTTTTAAGTAATAAATTTTTGTTTATTCTTTTTTATTCTATTAAATTTTTTACTTGTCATCTTTAAATTTCAAAACAATATTAATTGTTGTATCATCAATTATATATTAATATTTTATCTAATTTTTAATTAATTTACATATGACAATTAATATACATTTATTATATGAATAAAAAAATGAAAGAATGTGTAATAAGAAACATTAAAATCAATCTATAGGAATAGAAAAATTTATTAAAATTTTTTATTTGTGTAAAACAACCTTAAATAATTATTATTAACAAATAGGAGTAGTATATATTTGACAAATAAGAACTAAAATAATTGTTGATTATAACTCAAAATCTTATGTATCATCTATATGTTTTATAAAGTCTTTTGTCTGTATAGTCTTATAAGTTTAGTCTATCTACATTTGTCTGATGGGTTTAGTCTGTCTTCATTAGTCCGGTGAATTTAGTCTATCTTATTTTATAAGATTAGTCTTAGTGTCTTGAATCCATATATATATATGTGTGTGTGTGTGTGGATCCTTTTCTAAGTGTGACACAGAAAGAGAAAGCGTGAAAGCAAAATGCTAAGTATGAGTATAGAGAGATGAGAAGAAGATACGTAAAGAGGAAAGAAAAGTCAGTTAGAAAGATCAAGTGACTTTTGAGAAGATCAAAAAGTTGTTTTGTTGTAAATAGTTGATCTTGTTTTCAAATAGTGAAATATGCTTTCTACCATGGATATAATCAAATTGATTGAGTCACATAAATTTGTCGTGTTCTCTTTCCTCAATATTTTTCGTTTGCTATTGCATTTATTTTCTTGCGCTTATGTTCTTTATGTTCTTGTTGGATGTTGTTTTTTCTACATTTTTGGTTTGTTTTTGCATAGGGTTTGTTATTATTTTTTTCTTCTTCTTGTTTTAGAACCAACATAAATGATAAGAAAACACTTTTTTAATTCATTGTCTCTTATTGATTGATTTTTTTAATAAATTTTAATCAATAAAAAAATTGCTTAAATGCATGAAGGATGGATTTTGTTGTTATAATTATCTTATCCAACTCAAACAAAATAATGTCCAATAAAAAATATTAGAAGATATGTTGTTGACACTCATCTAATAACTATATATGTATATGTTACATAGGTGGTTAGAGATTCAATCCTCAAATCTATATATATAAAAGTTATTTCGAAAAATATGAAATTTTTAATTAAATTTTAATTTATTACTTTTGACCAAAAATACTTCAAATTCAAAAAATAAATGTTACTAAGATTTTTTTTTATAAATTATATAAATTTATTTTTTTTTCTAAACCATTGGGTTAGATATTCAATGCTCAAATGTATGTGTACCAACCTAGATGAGAATATAAACTCGATCATATATGTTGTCAAGTTAATATGTTAACATGAACTCGATTGTGAATGTTATCAAGTTAATATGTTGACCTTCTATTAATAATTAAAGAACACATATAATTAAGTCAGTATATCAACTCAATATTTATATTTATATTAAATGATAATAGCCATGAAAGATAGTTTGTTTACTTGTCAACCATAATAATTATAAAATCAATGTTATCATACAATCATAATTAACAAAAAAAAATGCATATATAATATAATAAATAAAAATATTAAATAAATTAAATTAACTTAATCGTCAAAGTCTTTTTTCTAAATAATACATAGCTTGAAAACAAAGATTATCAATCATACAAATCAATATCAATTCACAATGACGATTTTTTTTTTTTATATACAATAAGTTCTTCATCTAAGTTTATCATGATACTATCTATATAAAAGAACTTATCATTTTTTTTTCTGTATTTTTTCTTTCATCCTCACTGCCCTACAGTGGAAAGACAAGAAGTGGAGCATTCTAACTTCTAAGATGTTGTTTACTTTATGTATAAAAGATATATATATATATATAT